CCTGGTGGACACTAGAGAGAATGCAGCTTTAACACATGAAGCTTTGAATTCACTCTTCACAAGCGGAGGTTTCCACCTGGTCTCAACATATTTTGAGTTTGAGGACACGTTCAGGAGAGCAAAGAGAAAGAGGGGCGTTCTTTTACTCGTTACTACTCGTCTGACTTGTGTAGGCTGATGAGATCAACTTGTGACAGAAGAGTTCTTCTTCCTGTCGTCTCTGTGATGGATCACTGTGTTTGTGGCTCTGCTTCTCACTTACGAGAGGCAACAGCCAAAGAAATCGAGCTTCGAGCTTCGAGACCATCGTCAAATGTCAGCGGGCCATTGAGTCGTCACCGACCGTGATGGGAACGTTTAACACATCTTTCATTCTCTCAGTCAGCAGCAGCCAGCGGTCTTTAATCCAATCAGATAACAGGAACAGATGACAGAAAGAGATCCGACATGTCGAGAGGAGAGCGCAGAACGAGATCCGAGGCGAGTTTCAAAGTTACAGTCAGCGAATCCACCGTCCTGGACCTGATAATCAGCTCTGATTGGTCGTTTCCTCCGTCTCTGAAATAAACCGGAGCTTTGAGTTCTGCAGGTTTCAGATGAGTTTCTGATGATCCGGACCACCAGACCGGAAACCAGACGTTTGAATGAGCCGGTCCTCTCACTCTGTTATATACATACAGGGGCTGAGAGCGAGTCCTACATTTCCCAGCATGCCCTTCACGACATGAGAAACAACGCTCTGAAGCTGCTTTGATGTTTTACTCCTTGTGAGTCCGATGAGACATCGAGCTGCTCTGCTCTGAATGAGGAGGGAGGGGGAATGATTTAGCTCATCATCATTCAGAATCAATAGTATCGTTTCTACCACATCTACCCGCATCTAAACAGGAAGTCAGTGGTAAAGTAGTAAAGCCCGCCTCTTGCTCGATTTGATTGGCTGCCTGTGACATTGACGAGCGGTGCGACTCCACAAGAGGTGAAAACATGTGACCTGTTATGAGCGTCTTAAACCCGTCTGATCGGGACTCATGATCAATGTTCTCCTCAGGTTTGGTTCCCTGTAGGTTTAACTATGAGAGTCGTGTCTCTCGGAGTGTTGGCTCTGACAGCTGCGTGGTGTCCTTCTGTCTACACGCTTTAAACAGATAGAGCAGGTTTACTGTCGAGGTTAATGTGGCTCATAAAGAGGCGGATGATTTCTTTTCATTACTACACATTCTGCCAAATCCCCTCTGCAGGTTTGAAAGATTTACAGATTTTATAGTTTCCTCACAGATTCACCGAGTGCCTTGTTTTTAACTGGCAGGTCCAAGCTGACCCAGATCGTGGTGGACGTGTCCGCCGGCCCCTTCAAGGACCGGACGGTGATGTTCCTGGGCTCGGACGAAGGCCGGGTCCTGAAGGTTTTGGCCACCACGCATCCCAACGACAGCTTCGGATCCAAACTGCTGGAGGACATCGACGTCTACAACCCGTCCAAGTAAGACCTGAGGGGGAAAGTTCTGGTCCTGGTCCTCCATGCTGAAGACTAGCGCTGCTGCTAAACCGTCTAACGTCTGTGTGCAGGTGTAACGTTCAGGGTCAGGAGGACAGGAGGGTCCTGGGTTTGGAGCTGGATAAGGACTATCACGCCTTGTTCGTGGCCTTCACCAGCTGCGTCATCAGGGTGCCGCTGAGCCGCTGCACGCGACACGGAGCCTGTAGAAGGTAAGAAACCACATCCTCCTCCTCCTGGTTCTCCTCTTCAATCACTTAAACTCTCTGTTGATCAGAAGAACAGCTGGAGTTTTCTGAAATGTAGCGGACCAGAATTCAGCAGAAAGACTTCCTGATTCCTGAAAACATACAAAAAAAAGAAGAAAAAAATTCCAAATGGTTATGATCACTGTCACGACCTGGCTCTGACCGCCATGACCTATTCAGGGAGACGCAGACAGGTTACCAAAAGAAAAGAGTTTTATTCGACATAACAAGTCGTCCAATGACAAATGGTGTTTGGGACGAGCCGTCCTCGCTCCTCCACGGGGTGATAGGAGAGCCCCCTGTTGCAAGGAAGGCGGGGCTTTATCCTGGAGCACTGGCCCAGGTGTCTCCAGTTTGCAATCCTGTCATTAAAGGGACACACACACACAACCAGGAACGTGGTAGGGAACCGTCACAATCACGAATAAACGAAGCTTGATTTAGCAACATAATCGATCCTGTTGAAGCTGTGTGTGTGTGTGTGTGTGTGTGTGTGTGTGTGTGTGTGTGTGTGT